TTTGGAATGTTCGCGATCGCGTCATGGATGGACTACCTCGAACGAATAATTCAGTGGGAGCATGGCATCGCAGTTTCCAACAAATCATCTATTGTCATCAGCTGTCTGTGTTCAAACTCAATGAACAATTCAGAAGAGAACAGGATAGAGTGGAGGTCGACATTGCCTGTTTCCATGCAAGGGCCAAAGAAGCAGAAACGTCGAAGGCGAAGTTACGTGCAACTTAGTCGACGGCTTCGTGCTGTAGTTCCAGCTTACAACAAATTCGAATGACTATTTTTGTAGAATCGCTTATAATCTAGGCATTTAATTGATTCCCCAAAGCATTGTTCTACAATAAAGTACAAGTAGTCCGTTAATTGCATTAAATTTTATTAAACAAACACTTTTTTATCTTTATGAAACGAAAGTTACTTAGCATACATGCCACATTAGAGGCACAAAGAACGTTTTAAAATAATTTAGTGTTAATTCTTGGTTAGTCTGTCATTTTTTGACATAGACTATTTTGTTGTGGGCTATCTTGACCTGGGCTGTTTTAACGGGGCTATTTTAATCGGGCTATTTGATTTATTTTGACGGGGTGCCGACGGTTCTTTTGCCATACGTAAACCCTGTGATTATGGGTACGGTAATAAACTGCTATGGCGTTCGTGCTGTTTTGCGCCTATGTATTACAGATACTGCAATACCACGGCTTGTTTAAGCGGCCCCCCTATGCTAGCAGTAGCAAAAGGGTCTGTGCTTCGTCTTGTAAATCTAGAAGATTAACAAAGAGCAAGTTCGTTTTTTTCTGCGCATTTCGTCAAGGGATAGTGGCGTCATGTTCAAGCTCGACAAAGGTCGTGTTCAGCCAAATTCAGTAATGCGGCTTTATGTCCTATGTGATGCAAACTTTTGATGAACCTTTAAACACCATGGTCTCGTGTTCTGTTTAAATATTCGCCCTAGTCGACTAAAAGCAAAGGGTGCGGGACATTACTGAGATACAACCTGGTGTAATGACCACCATCCATCTTAAACCATCCGCGTTGTCGCTGTAAAGCATGTAGCTTTGCTTCGAAGCTTTCGTCTTGTAAATCGTGTCTTTAGTTGAAGGATAACGCAGTTAATTTTATTATTTTGAAAAACTTGTTTTTTAAATGTGATGCTTATGCCGATTATTTCTTTTACGATAACTTTGGAGGATCGTGAGATTAACAACGTAGCAAAGGGGTGAATTCTTGACCCAGGTTTGTTATTTGAGCCGAAACGAACCGATTGAACAAAACATTTATAGCTAGGATGGCTGAGGTCGCTGATTATTTTCGCTGGCTGTTAATAGCGTCTGTTTTTTTCAAACTAATTCATTCTGTATACCATTGCATGTACACTAACACGATGATGCCCCTTCGGCTGACCGTCTTTCACATTTTTCAGTGTAGTGCTTGTCGAATGTTATTAAGTCTTAAATACAAGCTCCGCCTCTTCTCTTGGAATGGCTCGAAGCGAAAAGAAATTCAACCCCCTGGTGATGGCGTTTACATTGTGAGTACGCGCGTGACCTCCATTGACGCTGCAGAATCTGAGGCGTTGACATGCCAATTTAGCCTCTCTCCGTCATACGGTTGTCAGACTAAACTGTTTAAGCAAGATCCGCCGGTTATCTTGAAATAACGAGACATTCTCTCAACCATCCTGACAGAATCAATTGGTGGAGGATAGCAGTGGCGTCACTATTGTTTCACTTTGAGTGACATGAACGAATATGAGGGATTTGGCCAAATGTTGGTCAAGTTTGAGAGTGTGATTTTGCTCGTACGGTATCGCTGGTTGCTGGTGTCATCAAGCACGTAAAAATTTTTCACGAATAACCGACTAATGCCGTTGACAAGCTACGCATTGTTGCCGAAACGTGAGCTATGAAGTAAGTTCTATGTCTCCAGCTGAAACGTTTCTTGTTTCAGGATCAAGCAGTAAATGGAGAAACACGCACTATCTTCAGTTCACGTGGCAGTAAGAGTCAGCGAACGATGAGCGAAGAAACGAAAAAACGGTTTTATGCTATTTCGCGAAGAAACGAAAAGGCTCCTTGCGCTGGATAACGTGCTTCTGACCACCAAAGGTTTAGCTGACTACGCCGGTGTCCTTTGGTATAAAATGAAACAAGAAGAAAAGCAGGCCTTCAAAGACAGAGCGAAGTTGATGTCATGTCAAATGATTCCACATCAGGCGTGGCAGAGTACAAACGATATCGTCCAGCGCGAGGACTGCAGATCAGCAAAACGATTGAAAAAACGGAGAAGACGTTTGGCGAGAAAAGTCAGTGTAGTAAGCAGTTTTTGTTTTTCATATATTCCTTTACTTTAACGTTCTTTTCTTGACGCAGTCTTCGTTGAACACATTAGTGGCGGTGATCTGAACGGTGTCAGTCAGTCAATCAGTTGGTCAATCAGTTTTAACCCCATGATCATTGTTTTTGTTATTCGATCGTTAACTTCGTTAGACGATGTCGCCTCATCAGTAGTCACTGTTACACGGTATTGATTCTTAACCCATGCTGGAGGTTATTGTAGAATCATGTCTGTATACTGTTGGTATCGCCTTTATCTTTGATTTATTTTTACCCCGAACGAGGTCCAGGTCGCTCAGTCGATTGATCCGGTCTAAGATTAGTTAGAAATTCAGCATATGGAAACAAACTGGTCGTCTGCGAACTGAAGATTGATTACCAGCTGATCATTCCCTGATTCCTGTTCAGTAAGCCGTTTAGGAAACTCATAAATTGTTCCTGTCATGTCTTTAAGCAAACATTTAACAGCTGTTCGAGATAGGAATCGCTCCATCTCCTGCCCTGACCATATTCTTGAATGATTCACTGAATGCCCCCACCTATTGTACAGAGGATAGCGAGGAATTCAATTAGTTCTTGCCAGACGGTTTTGTGGAATGCCCATCTGGTATCCGCCCATATGAGGCTCCGCTGATAAAATTCTCTTCACCATACATCAATAATTCATTCGCTGCCATTGCTTTCCGTAATCTGTCCTAGGCTTGTCGCAGCCAAAAAGACAGATGATTAAAGTACGTTGTTCCATATCAGAAACAAACACCGCCGTGCTTTTTGTTTCCAGCTTCCAGGATTGCTGTGAACACTTATCATGAATCTCAGATGGTCCTCTGTCGTTGCTGATAGTCATTGTTGGCAGAATTTCATATGGTTTAGGAGATAATTCAGTCCAGGAGAAGGCGACTATAGTTATGAATAGTTATGATCGATTTATGAATTCTACAGAGAGTGCGATGAAGTCTTCTCGCTCTTTCGTTTATTCTTTTAACGGAAAATTAGGACAGATGAATGAATCGGAGGTTGGTTTGCGTATGATATTCTACATATGATGTTTCGCATGTGATGTTCTGAAGCGATTAAGCTGAAAGGCTAAACGAGGTATCTCTTGATTCTTTATATTGCAGCGGTACGAATGTTTAGCTGATTCAACAGCGCAACGACAAAGAAATATGTTCCAGTCAGCCATCTGACCGATTTAGGGTAAGAGCAATATCGTTGCATATTTTCATCGTTTCTCATTTGGAAGGGATAACATTTGTCTTTCTTTTCAAATATGTCATCTTCAAATCCGGGCAACAGCAAGGATCACCATACTGAAAGGCGCCAACATCCTGATGTGCAGCCTTGAAACATATACAGTTTTAAAGTGCTCTCTATAGAAGTTGTGCCCTTTTCAACTGCGTTGTCTGCGGAACATTCTAAAAATAAGATGGTTCTATCGAATGAAGAATGAAAATATCTTGAAAATGACCGGCCAGAAAATGCTGTCTGAAGAAATCAGGGGCCGGCATTTGGCATGGTTTGAAGAATCGTTCGAGAGAGAATGGAGACCTATTTAAAACCGTTCCGTAACTCTGGATTCTGTTGGAGTAGACCATGCCAACTTATCCAAGTATGGCTGGTGTGGCATGAAGGCGGCTTTATTTCGTGGGTCAGTGTTAATAATAGGAGATACATCAATAGAGTGTGGTTATCAAAATGCCATAAAGCAGCCACTTGCAAAAACGGACCTAATATCATTAGTTAAACCCTCGATCTGTCACTGCAGACGCAGTTATGTTTAATAATCTTTACAACACCGCTTACGATGAGCAGGCAAGACCATATGTGTCTCGTTCTCCGTTGGTCTGTAATCATTAATTCGTGGGGAGGCCAACAATCTTTCCCTTAGATTTCTCATCTAACAAATCTACCAGCATTACCTTGAAAAGACGGGATAGCTCATCTTTCAGCTGTTTTTTGGTTTTAACCTTCTGCTGATTTTCAAACTAGGTTACCTGCTTTGAGGTTTGTGAAAGCGAATTGTAACCACTGAGGCGCCCGCAGTAGACAGCGCGGCCATACTTCAAACCAGTTCTGTTATGGCCACTCCAGAATACCATGTTGCCTATGTTGTTCGTAAGTTGACGACTTGCCACCCGTCCCTCTCTGTCGATATCTCGACAGGTTGCATTGAAACAGTGTGGGGAAACTTCCTTATCCTAGTTGATTAACGGTTAAGACTATTTTTGTTTCTTTTTCAGGACTGAAATGGGACATCAATGGAGCTCCAAGATAGTTTCTTTTCCCACTGTGTCATCCTGCCCCAGTTTTTTCATTAGCTCTCCTCCTTAGGTAGCTTCTCATATCAGTTTGGCTACCATTTTGACTCGCTCGACACCGCTTCGCCGTTACATATGATCTATTTCACTGGTCGTTAAGTGCTCACCCTGGAGAGGTTCTGTTTGAAGAGAATTTTACTGTGCCGGACTGTCCAGATTTCATCTAATAATGTTGTTTTATTATTATCTTCTTACCGATTTCTCATTTCACGTGCAGGTTCTGCTTAAATTCCTTGCTCACGGGAGTACGGAGACTGTTAGAAACATTTTCAGCTCTGTTGACGTGGAACAGAATATCTTCAGGACGTATGTTTAGAATTGTAATTATTAGGCTGGCTACCGCTGATTCGAATTACGGCTTATGAGAGCGATCAGAAGTGTTTGAGTAGTGATAAATTGCCTAAAGAGGAGAACATGATAGAGTATTACGACACTTCAGCGGCAAGTCGCCAGAACGATGGATTTCGATGGACGGGTTTTTCTGTTGTATGCTGTACATTGCTTGAAATCCATGAATTCGCAAGCAAACTGTTGTTGGATGTGTTACATAGCCTCCAGCTACCGTATGATTGTTAAGGGCCTGGTTGCGAGCGACAGTTATGTTCTTGACGGCACATGAAGCTAGATATATTGATTGTGTATTGTTTGCGTTTGTAAAAGAAATAAATAATTGTCGTGCACTAGCGGTGAATCTGTCCCAGTGGCTGAACCAAACCATCAGCAGCTAATGACACGAACTGTCGACTAAACAGACCCTTGAACGGAGGTTTATCCAGATAATCGGTTAATCCTATAGTATCCGATGCCCATCGGTTATGTGAAATTATAGAATACCTCAAATATAAAGTTTATAAAAATAGTTCTTGTAAGTTGCAGAATAGATTAGAAAATAGAGAAACAAAAATCGCGCACCGGAACCATGTCTGGTTTCAGAGTTGAAGAAGAACTGTGTGAATGATTTGCTATTAACTATCGAATTCCTCAGGTGGATGTACCTTCTTTTTTGCTATTCGTTATTGTCCTCAACTTTCTTCTCTGAAACAGTGTTGTCCTTTGTCCTTGGCAATGAGGAAAGTTTCATTCTAGGGGAAAGGCGCATTTTCACATATCCGGTTAGATATTTTACTGATCAGATGATTCTGTCCTGGTCTGTAGTACGGTAAGGTAGGCTCTGTCATCTTACGGATTCCTCTTCGAAAGCTGTTCTCTTCTTTAACGCCCGGAACTCAATGGTATTATGAGTAATCCATTCGAACAGCTGATCTGCAGGTTAAACAGGGAGATGAAGCTTTTCAGCACAATCACGCTAGCCTTGAGTGCTTTGTTAAACCTCTCACATACTTGGGCTATCAAAGGATAACTCTGTCTGAAAATAAATCCCGCCTATGCCTTGCTTCTGTCAAGTCAGTTTTTTTGCAGCATGGAGACAGTTGTTTTAACGAAGTGGCAAAAATTTCAGTTGAATTGCATACTTTTGTTTCGACGCATGATAAAGATTAAATAGCACGTCAACTTAAGGAATTAAGCCCTTCTCTTGTAGACCACCTCAGTTATCGCAGTGAGACAGACTGCTTCAACGAAAAGCATTTACTCTAGCACATATGGAAGGCAAAACATGGTGACATCGATCAGAAGGTCAGAATGAAATATAGAGGAACATGATGAAGTCGGATTTGCTTTTGCAAAGAAATATTTCCTTCTACAGTGTAGTAACCGGCGCTTCCTAGCAAAAACGTCTTGAACGAATGAACTCAGCTGACATCACAAATGAGAAAGAAACGTTGTGTTGATGTAAGAGGTTCAACATGATGATCTCAGCAAACAAACAAACCAACAAGGAACAACAGACTTCACTGCTGCAGAAAATTTGTTGTCCGTTGATTGCAGTCATTTAGCAAGAAAATCTCACCGACGCTGCCCTGGCCGCTCAACGAACTTCTGACATGTCATGTATTTGGTGCCAATGGCGATTTCACAATGTTGACGTGCTGCGCAAAGACTTCGTCATCCTGTGCATTCGTCCTTTATCCGATGCGTCTGTCGTCAGCGACATGAAATTTTCCGAATTTGAAGTGTCGTTATTGTCATTTCAAGTTTTCACCGGTATTGTCAGTCGATACCACGTTCTGGTCGCAGAAGGTATTTGCATTGCTCTGTTTCGTTAATATGTAATATCGTTTAATTTATCGTTCATATATAATTCCAGTAGTTAATATCACCGCTTTAATCGTACGAAGTGAGAAATCATATTATGACACACAGTCTTCGCTGCTCATGTGAGAAGGCTTTTTCTGATTTTCCGCTCTCCGTTCCTCTCATATTTACTTGTTCGGTCTTGTTTAACCTCATTTCCTTTCGGACTTAATTCATCGCATTATCTGATTCCCTGAACTGAATTCTGTCAAACTTATGAATTTCAATTGTTAACTGTTTTTTACGCTTCCATTATGACTCCGAATTCATGGGTAATCGAATACAGCGGCGTTAGTCGCAGGAACTTCATCGGAAGCGCTAGTCGTTCGGCATTATTTCTTTCCGAAATCCAGTGGGGGCGATCGAAAGAGAACAACGACGAAGCAGCATGTTGAAAAATTAACGGTTGTTAATTTAGCTGCCAACGGTATGGGTGCTGCTTGGTCGGTTTTATAAATTTCAGAAGGAATAAAAATTGTTTGCAACTTATTCCCGGCCAGCAAAATCAGTCAAGTTAAATAAATTATCTCTAAACACTGAATCAATAATAACAGTTAAGCAGCTATATTTAAAACCGTATTACACTGTCCTCTTGCTCCCGGATGTTCACAGAGTCGTTTAAATGGTCACGGCTCATGGAGATATGCGTTATTTGGCATACTCAAACGTATCAAAATATTCTGATGTATATAAGGTGCATTTAAGGAGTACCGGTCTTGAAATATGGTTCACGATAATGCGAAACCATACATCTGCCATTGCCGATACTGAAATACCACGACACCTTTTCCTGATTAAATGGTCTCCTTAGCAGCTAGGAGCAAGATGGCTGCGCAGTACGCCGTGGAATCTTGTATTACAGGAATCATTCGTTTTTTGGCACACTCAGGCTACTTGTAGTCTACAAAACGCTTACGATCTTTATGTGATAGCATGTGAAGAATACTGGCTCTTGAAAAATCTTTTGACAAGCACGACGTAGGTCTATCAGACAAAATGATGCGAGAAGCATATGGTATTGCAGGTGCTCATTTGCCCTAGAACACCAGCCTGCTTAAATGTTCCTCCCATAAGCACTTAGTTGCAGGGGCGGTGAATTACGCCTTGAAATCTGATCTTGGATGATTTATGCATTACCTAACTACTCCCGCGAAGGAGCATATTTTACAAATAATTATCCAGATATTAGAAGTTGTGTCCGTGGTTTAACATTTAACTGCAATATAATGATATGAGGCAATAAATGGAGGTGATTCTTGAGTGGCTTGAGAACAATAATTTATTGCTTTTGCTTTGATGAATAAATACCGTTCTGCAGTAGTGAGTGTTTCGTGACAAGCGTCTGATTTGAGTTTACCACTGTTTAGAGGCTAACTGTTAAATACCTCAGGATGGCGTATGAGTTTAAAAACTGGTGTAAAAATGTTTAGAGAAAGTGAAAATAATTTTCCAAAATAAAATAGTGTTCATAGTTTTTAAGGATAAACTGAAAAAAATGTTTTTTAAATAATTAGCCAAAATTTCTGTTGTTCTTAGTGTCGACGTCCTGGCAAAACACTAGGCTTCAAGCATGACACGAAGAAATTTAAGTAAGACAGACAAGTCTTCGGCTTTACGCCTTTCTTTGTCCGCGTGTTCCCTAGTCATTGTTTATAAACAAAAGCATTTGCCGCCGAATTGAAAACACTTCATTCAGTACTTCAAGTGTCGTGTACACATGGAAATACGATGCATTGATGACAGGGACTACTAATGTAGTTGTCGCTCTAGAATCATAAAGTATAAATGTAATTGTTTCAAAGTGACAAATTTTGCAGATATTTCGTACTGTCTTCATAGCCAACTTTTCACCAATACGTAGACTGTTGAAACTGGTTGAGAAAGGAATATAAGAAGAAATCCGCCTGTTATAGGTATTCAGACTCGCGATCACGTAAGACTATACAGTGATGTAGTAGCATCGCACAGCTGTCATAGTGAAATCATGGTAAAATGGAAATTTTCTAAATTTACAAGATTGGCAAAAGCTTCGCATTGAGCTACCAGATGGACTCTCTACTGATATGTAAAATGACATTAGGTAACATAATTGATATAGAAGGAAAAGTTGAAGCGATGCACAGTGATAAGAGGTCTGCTTTGAACGACGGAGATGCCGCGCGCGTTTGAATTCTGAAAAGAAATTCTCATAGCCTCAAATTCCCAAAAATGAACAAGGAATTTACCCTTTATTGCTTTAGTGCATTCGACCGGTTAGCACGTAGCAAGTGGTTGACTTGCGAACATCAACAACAGCATGGTGCTCTATTGTAGCCATACCAGAGAGGGAGAGTGGTCCGGTCATGCTGTCTGATGCGAGCATTTTTAAGGGCTTCGATTCACTTTGACCCAGAGTGCCAATCAATGAATGTATTTTTTTGCTTCACTAAATATGCGAAACATGGCCATATGTTTCAGCACAAACCCAAGCAGTCCAACTATACCGAATTGCAACTCGCGACCACATGATTGTTCCCTGACGCTAACCGCTAGTCTTCGCCGAAAATTATCGACCGTGCTTTGCGCAGCTCCATTCAGTCGAGATGATGACCAACAGTGATAGTTTCGATGGCGGGTATCGTAGCGCACAATGGACAATTGGCACTTTTTACAGAACTGTTTATTTTTAAGCGTAGACCTGACATGTTATTATAACCCTAATCCAGCATTAGAAAAGTTAGTTACGTAGAATTGTGGGTTATTTAGCTTAGGTGTTTAGTTGCAAATACTTTCATTTTGTTCTGAGAACCCTTTATAATTATTATAACAGTGGTCGCTTCAGCTACTAAATTTAGTGATTTAATTAATTATTACAGTCTTTATGCAGATTGAGAAATATTTTGATTTTTTTATGATGGAAGTTTAAAACGATACTAGTAACTACAGTAACAGGAGTTATACTCTCTGATGGTTATCGCATCGAATAAGCAGCTATCCGGTAAGAAAAGAAGAATTAGATTGCCTTTCTTACGACAAGTTCACCGGATCGCGGCCAAAACATTTGAATGGTAGATGTCTGATACTCAGCTGCTGACTGTTTCAATTATCCTCTAAATTGACGCCCATTTAGCGATTTTTCGAAACGTTGGAAAGAATGTCAAGAATGTCCTTGTTTCTGGAATTGCACTGGCAAGAGTTTTGCTATATCCCTTATAGGAACCGTTTTGTATGTGGATATATAACCGATGAGTTTGAAAGATGTGCATAAGGTGAGAAAATTATCGCGTAATACTTTTGCGTCTAACGCTTCGAACTATCTAATGGGTACAGATGAAACATATTGCAAGGCTAGCTTCAGAATAACAGATTAGACAGGAAGATTCTCATAAATACAGTCATGGAGGTCATGTGTTAATCAGAAGCGTGCATCTAGTTTTCGACTTAGAACTAAACGTACTTCTAACTGTTCACTAAAATTATTCAGCACGAAATTGCTCTAGAGTGAGTAGCGCAGATTTTCGTGGTTATAAATAGCTTTTCGTCGATTTGACACGTGATGAGTAAAGGTTGAAAGTAGTCGTTCCATAAGCACCGAAAGTGATGTTCAAACCGAACTAGCAGAACAGTTGGTCGTCTAAAAATCATTCTTGAATGGAATTTTAAAATTCTATACCGTTGTTTTAGATACAATGAACGATAGGAATCAGCTGATTAAGATCCCAAAACAAATGCTGGAAATGTGCAACGAAAAAGGCTTCCGTCGTATTTACTGCTCAAATGCGGAATACAGACATTCGTTGCATGTTCTGCAGTATCTTAAAAAATCAGTTGGGGAAGGTAAGTTGTTGAAACTGCGTCGTTTTATTTCGACTGTTCGTTTTTAGGTTGGGCTTCACTTCTGAAGCTTCATTGCGTAGAAGATTTGTTTCAGCTTCTTTGTAAGTGGCACGGCATGAAAGTGCCAGAAAATACCCTCAATGCATTCAATTTCATCTCTTCCATCAAGTTTCCGTCGGAACTGAAATTCAGCGTGGCCTGCCCCCAGCATGGGACAGGCTGTGAATCGTATGCCTGTTTGATGACTGCAAAAATTTGGTGAGTCAGATGACATCTTTGTTGTGACTGTGGGATTGAGCCAGATACCCAGACGTAAGCTTAGCGTCGCCGCTGCATCGTTTCGGCTTTTCAGTACTTATCTGAGGTGTAACCTACTTTACCTCCTCCCCGTTCCTCTTAATCACACCTTACCGCTTACGTGTTTACAGCACATGTACCATATAGCTCATTAGCATGGTTATTTCTGTTAATTTCATTCACAGGATGGATGCTGAAAGTGAATCAGATTTCAGTATGTAATGATTAATGCAAACTAATATAATACAGTATTACATACCAACCGTATGAGAAAATGGAAAAATGCAAAATTTGATTTGGCAGTTCAAGAGACGACTGATCACTGACACGAGAGACAGATCTTTTCAGATTTGTTCCTTTATAAGGATAGCATTCTTCACAGTTGTATTCACGGTTGATGATGCTCGAACCAAGATGATGTCCTATGGCCGTTAATTTTTGCATCTTCATCTCTAAATCAATTTTTATGCCTTGACGCATGTGTTCACTTTTTTAATTTCTGTTCCCATTTTTTCATTCATGACTGTTCTCGACCACAGGGCACGCAAATACGAAGATTATTCAAGTGCATGAATGGAAGTTCATCAGTGTTCAGTAATAAACGAAAGGCGAGACCCTGGAAGGCGCAAGCATGCGGACACCACGTGGGCTGTCTGCCTTGCGGAAAACTGCCTTTAGGTGGCAGACGAGTAACTTAGACGCGAAGTAAAATATTTTACTCCAGATTTTTTCCACAGCACTTTTTTGATAATTTATGTAAATTTACATAGATCAGTGTCTGACCGTATTCTACTTTATGGCTGTGGCTCTCTAAGAATGTTAGAGCTGCTTTTCAAGATGTGGCAAAGACATATTTCAAGATACACTTTTGCTACGTGACTAACGTGTTCTGTTTAAGGTATTTTTTCACCTCATTGCTAGCAGTGTTGCTGCCAGACAGTCACCTCAGCTGGAAATCAGTGACGAAAGACATGCTGCGATGGTGAGCGTTACTTGTTTATGAAATTTATGATGATTACTGAATTGCATCAGACGAAAGTGTTATAATTTATCATTAATGACAGTAAACTGACATTATGGAGGAACATCTCTAACTATCGAAGTGAATATGGATAACTTCCGTAACTGAGATCAGAGAGCTCTCATGAATCCGGTAATTTTTTTATTTGCTTTGTTAGCAGCATTTGAAGTTAGATTGATATCTTTTTTGAACCCATGCGCGTGCTTTGCAAGGAAATTTCTTCCAGGAAGCATTTTAAAGATGCATTGATATTAAAACAGCGTGTGTTCTTCGAAAGAAGCTTCAAATGAGATTTACGCACTGGTTTATAGTTAAATTTTAAGTATTGCATTTCGATAAATTTAAATATTAAGCTATTTACTTTTCAGTGCATACGGCTTGATGCTTGACGCAGAATTATTCTTTCTCCTTTAAATCTACTTTTCAGCTTTCGGAAAGTCCTCATCAGACACAGTTCACATCTAATTCATGTCCATTGTTATTATTAAATATTCCTGATGATGGCTTCTGCGTCGGAAACATCAGATTAAAGGATAGTCATGTGCCAAGCTCAGAGCCGTTTCGTTAGGAAGGCATTAAATGCGTTAAAATAGCATTAGCTTGTATTTAAAAGTAATGTTCCGAAGATATTTAAATTTTATTGTTTAGCTAGTTAAGTACCAAAATTAAGGAATGTACTACCATGCATGATTCTTTAGCAAGACTCGCAACGGGTTTACCATTTTGTATATCAGGCTGTTGAACGACCTGTGGATTAGGTCAAACTTAGGCACACTGTACCCCATTGTGTTGACGATCCTCACTCGATAACTGGTTTCACGTCTAGGGTTCTGAAGGGTTCGATCTTCTTATCCTATTGCATCAAAGACGACATCTAGTGCAGTACAAGCATCCAATTTGGATCGAATAAATGTGTGCTCAGTCTTCAGTCCAGTCAATCTCTTGTCGCTTCTAACGATGTCTTCCGTTATCGCTGGAGTCATCCTGCTTCCTGCCATCAAGCTGTGCGTTCGGTATCTGCTTCGCAGTGGTGGTCACCGTCCATTCGCAACTAGTGGTCCCACCATTTTAAATGTTTGTTTTTGGCCAGTCGGTTTATTTAGTTGCATAGTCTATTATTTCTCACATTGGACAGCGTTTGGCATCAGATCATGCCACATGACTTCTAATATTAAACTTAATATTATTTCTGTCGATTTCAAGTTTCTGTTTTCAAATTTATGAAGTGCTGCTGTCTGCAAACCATGGAGAAGGATGTTCAGAATTCAAACCAAAATGTATATTTGCAGCTTGTTGCTATTTCCAACATCTTTGTCTATCGTGGGCTTGAACAACGTGTCGCTCGCTTCTAATGCCAATTCACTGCATCTCCTAACGTCGTTTGTCACTTGCCAGTCTGCAACCAATTTGCTCGCAAGATGCAGATGTTTTAGTACCTGTTACATAAGTTCTGTGTCAAAGGTCAGACAATCTTTGGTCTGGGTTGTACCAATTTCCATCCATTTCGCCTTTTTCGAGTTAATCGAGAGACCAAAATCAGAACCCCGACTTCGCAAGTTTCCGCTACTTATGCAGTGTCAATCGCAAATATAAGTGTTTACGCAGAAATCGACCATTCTTGCCGCAGTCGTAGATTCGCTTTAGCGTATGGGCTGGAGCGCCTGCTCCAGAAACATCGCAAGCAGCATAGTAGATTCCACTGCTGTTTGCCTTACTGTGAACTCTCTGTGAAAGAATTTGTGTAGCCTGCCATCAGTTCACAGTGTACGTGACGAAACATCATGCATCTTTTTAACTGTGGTAATAATCGTTGTTGGTATTCCATATTGCGATATGACTTCCTTCTGTTTTACACTACCATTGTATCGGTATAAAGCATTAAATGAATTTTTCTTTCTTTACACTACGAGTTCACCATTCAGATCCGGTATCGTTAATTGTACTATCCTGTATTGACGGTGGCGGTATCAAAAGCTCTATTCTTGAAGTCTTCCCAATGGCATCGGAGTTATGTTTTCTTCTAGGTATTCCGTATTGTGCGCTAAATTTCCCTAAGGTATCTTTCACGAGTAAGTCAAAAGCTTTGGTCAAATTACGAATGTTGCAAAGAATTTGGATTCATATTGTCTTATTTTACAATACCTGTATGACTGTGAATATCTAGTCTAAACTTCCTCTATCTGTCGTGAAATCAGACTTCTTCATACAGGATCATCTCCAGGTCTTGTTTTCCTGATCCTATAAAATGCACGAAGGATTGTAGGCTTGTTTCACTGTAGTCGGTTGCATTCTGTGCAACAGCTTTTCTTAAGTTTTGGAACCACACTATCTTTCCTCCAGTTATTTGAGATCTCCTCTTGCTGCCACACCAAACTAAAGAAGAGGTTCAGTAATACTAGCACTCCATCTTTTCAAGATTACTTAATTATTTCTGCTTGTACCAGTCCTAGCAGTTCCTTCGTATTTCGGTTCCTTAATGCGCCAATTGGATATCTTCAGAGATATTTGGTCCAACACCATGCATTTCATCATACGTAGAATTTTGTTTTTTACAATCATTTAAGCTTTAAGTAGCTATTCAAAATATTTTCCCTATATCTCAACGACTTTTGTAAGATCTGACGTGATTTTCCCATCGTATTATTTCATGCTGTTTTTGTCGTAGTAGCAATGGACTTTCCTGAAAAACATCCTCATCTTCTTGCCTCGAGTCCCATTTTCCATTATCAAAAGTTTTCTCTTGTCTTAATAAATTTTAAATTTCTTTTTTTGAAACTTTTATCTGTTTTCAATCTCATTATGACCCCTCCGTTGCCGATCCCAAGCCCTTTTCAGAAAGGAGGAGGGTTCAAGACCATGGAAAACTTTCCGTAAAACTTAACCACCTGCTACTCATGGTATTAAAGCCATCGAATATTATGCCGACTCGGTCGTCTCCCGGGCTA